AGAGAGACAGAGACAGAGACAGCCGGAGACAGACAGACAGAGACAGACAGAGAAAGATATAGACACAAAGGGAGGGAAGGAGGGAAGGAGAGAGGGAGGGAGGGAGACAGGGAGAGGCAGAGAGACACAAAGTGCTGCTAGAGAGGGAGAAAGGAAGAGGACAGCAGGGAAAAAATATAAATCCTCATGGGTATGCAAACCATCCAGTCAAGTCTACAGCCAGGTAGAGTTCACCTTTAAGGATCACTGGTCTGTATTTTTTTCTAAAGTAGATGCATAAAATTTCTTTTATTTCTTTTTTATCTTTTATTTGCTTATTTATCTTGGTGTAAGGTCTCACAGTGCAGCTGGGACTTGTAGTGATCCTTTGGTCTCAGCCTCCCCAGTGCTGGGATTACAGGCGCACCCCACCACACCCAGCGTCAGCATGGCACGTGGTACTGAGGATCAATCGCAGGTCCTTGTGCTTGTCAGGCATAGTATTTCTTACTTTTAATATTCTGTATATTTGTCTCTCAGGCAATGCTGTATTAAACTTTCACCTTTAGCCTTGCATAGAAAAATTAAGAACAAAAATCTGTTCTTTGATATTATCACATTGCATTCTACAGCAGAGAAGTTGGTAACACAGTAACATATACTTTATACAGCAGGTTTCAACTGGACACCTTGGTGATTCATGTTGGCCTACCCATTGTTTGATAATTTCTGATAATACTGACCAATTGCCCTCAGCCTTGCCCTGGACACCCCCAAGGCTGTATTTCTGATTCAATTTCCCACCAGGTAGGCCAAGGTTACCAGCAGGCGTGCATCTAAATTTTCAATAAAACTTGGCACATGTTGAAAAGTTCAGAAGAAAATATTTTCCAGGAGGAAAACTGCTCCGACCCTCACTTGGTCATTGGCAGTTCTGCTGCTTAAAACTAAAGCACTAGGGAGAAATATTGAGTCCATTTGTTGAGGATCACTACATGTTACTATATCCAGCTGGGTGCAGAGATCTCTACTTGCTTGTTAGACACTTCTCTGCATTGAACAATGTTACTCCTTAGGTTTTCTCCTTCTGTTCCTTGCATTAAGCAACATCTTTCTTCTTCTAAAGAATGAGAACAAACCTCACCCTCGTGCCTGTACCTTCCAGCATTCATGAGATGTGGGCAGAGCTTGGTTGGTCCAGGCAGCACACAACAGTGCTACTAAATTGCCTGCCTTCATCTTCAGAAATGCAAGAAGACATAGCAAATGCATGTGTGTGTCACACACACACACACATACACACACACACACACACACACACACACACACCAGCCATGTGGTCATTACAGAATGATGGAATCAAAAGGATCCCAGAAAAAAACAAAGCCAAACAATCAAGCCAAACAGGTTGAAAGGACTGTACTCCAAATAGTGCCTAAAAATCAGGGCTAGCTATGGGTTTCAGTCCTTCATTCAAGATCCAATTATTGATTAATATATTTTTATAAGGTCAGAGTACTTGAAATAGTTCAAGACGTGGATAAGCTACGCTCAAGGCCTGGCAAGCAGAACATCAGAGGGTAGCTGATTCATCAGTACAAGAGCAAGGGAGAGAGCCCGGACCAGACGCCGACCAAGAACAGAGCAAGCCAGGCACAGAGGGGCCACTTAGCGTAAGGCAGGCAGCTTCCAGAGTGAAAGCCTCATGTCAGCAATGGAACAACTATTATTTAAAGCCCAAACAACTCTTCTCCTTTAATAAATCATAGAAGTGTTAAAAGGTTTCTTAGGATTTCTGAATGAAGCGATTATTGTTTGTTTAAGATTTGAGATTTCTTTGAAGACAGACACTACTGGAAGCACAGCCTCGCTGTGTATCCGCATGGGGCCATCAGAACATCTCAGAACACAGAGCCCTGAGAATAAATTTTGCACAAATGGGCTGCCAAGGACTTCAGCAGACAGCCGCAGTAACAGAGCAGGAATGACACACAGCTATCTTATCAACCTGAACAGGATTACAGACAGAGGCATTCTGGACAGCTTTGTGTAACACTCGTATAAACAAAGCTTCTGTCGGACACACAGATTCACATTCTCTCCTCTGGCCCATCAGAGACCTTTTCTTGGCTGCCTACAGCCTGGAAGGAGTTAGTCAGTAAGGAAAACGAAGTGCAGACAGTCCACAGGACCGACGGTCCACTCATGTGTTGGGAGAGACAAAGGCATTTATCAGCTCTCCCTCATGGTAGAACTGGTTTGTTCTATTGTGAAAATTTGAACTGAGGTATTTTTTTCCATTATTTTATGGCTTAAATAATCTTTGAAATGTCAGACAATCAAAAACAGATCACTGTGTTCACCCACTAGTAGTCAATATGTCAAGTCACATGTATGCAATCCACACTTTAGCAAAAGGTCCCCTGGTATGAAGCAAATTCAGAAACCTCCTCATGAAAAATTTTGTGACAAAATGCAAGGAAAAAAGAGAAGCAGACCAAGCTGGCTGAGAAAACACAGAACCCTTCCCTAAGGATCCACAGGTGGTTCCTCCAGGCCTGGAGTCCCTCCTCCTCTTCCCTCCTAGGACACCTGCCCTTCTCTTGATGTGTATGCTGTGGTCAGGGGCCCACTGGTATCCCACTTGGATCTCTGGAAACTTCCTCCAGGGAAGGGATCTGCATTGGTTTGGGGGCTCTGTGCCTTTCCTGCCAGATACCATGGACAGGAGCCCTCTGTCCAGGCAGGCCTTAGAGGAGCATGTTGAGGAAGAGCACATGGAAACGGGGTGAAGGCCAGGACTCGGCAAGGCTCAGGCTGGACCCTAGGCGTGCCTTTTCTGAAACAACTATGAAGCCCTAAAAACTGCATAAACCTGAGCTTAGGTATCTGTACGTTGTGAAAATAAGGGTACTTCCTTTCAAATTAACAGCAGCTGAAACATTGGTTCCAGTCTCCAGCACACCACAGGGATCCACGAGATTTGTCCACACATTCCACGGGTGCTGGTCCCCTTAGCAGTGTGACCAACTGGGGTTGGGAGTTAGACCGCTGCAGTCAAGCAACTCACCTGCTTTCTTTTATTTTGTGATTTGCTAGGGTCCTCTGAAGTGCGAGGTTCAGCCGTTCGAACTGGAAATTGAAAAGAAATGTTTCTGAAATTTACCCAAGTACCAATTTGTTAGAAGAGACACATTTTTGAAAACTCACCCTCAAGATTTCATATTAAGAGGCAGAAACATTATAACTTGAATAATTAGGTTTACTGAATCTATGGCTTGGGACCTGAGACTAACCTTCTGTTTCTCCAACCTCAACGACAAGCCCCAGCTGACGAGATGTGTGGTCGCCCACGGGCCTTGCTCTCGACCCTGGCCTCGCTGAAGCCACAACAGGGTCCAGCTGGGGCTGCGTCCACATGGGAGAGCCAGGGTGGTAGGCCTGCTCGGCCCTCAGTGCAGGAGTCTGCAGCCTCACCTCCGCTGGGGCAGGAAGTCATCTGGATGGCCACCCCGCACCTCCGCCACAGCCTGGCTCGAGCCGGACGCATTTCTGTATTTTTCATACACATAAACTCTACACTCAGTTGACCTAAGCGCCCTTAAGCACACATTCACACCGATGCTTCGTGTGTGTGTGTTCTGGTCTAGAAACTTCCACGGTATTCTCTGTTTCCCTCCCTCTCTCCACTCTTTCTTCAATTCCTTCAGTCAGTTCTTTCAACAGTTTGCTTTTCATTGTTGTTCTTGTTTTTATGTGTTTGGCACAGGGTCTCACACACAGCTCAGACCCGTTGCAATTCTCCCATTTTCAGCCTCCCCAGTGCTGGGATTACAGGCGTGTGCCACTATGCCCGGTCTCAGTGGGCGGCTCAGCGTGCCCAGGCCTGGGGCTGATGCAGCACGTGTTGCCTGGATCGAACCCAGGTCCCTGCACTTTGCCTAAGCAGGCCTTCAATCTATTCTGTCACAAATATTAATGGATCGTTTATTTAAATGGAACCTAAGATTTATCTGAGCATATGCTGATTTTCCTTCTTTGAGCCAGGTATCCTCGCCAAATACTGATACCCTCTTCTTGATTTCTATTCCATGAGTTTGCTCACTTTTCAACATACTTGGACATTATAAGCTTTTATACTTCATAAACATGCGTTGGCAATTAGTGTCTCTTTTGTTATTGACAATTAGGAAATAAAATACTGATAAATAATGTTGGTATTTTTTGTATTTTATTCAAAACTCATGTACCAAATCTCTCTATACACATGTTATCTGTACAATACATCCAGGTATTTTCTCCATAGTTAACTCAAAGGAAAGTGCAGAGTCTTCCGGCTGTGTTCAATGTGGGGAAATCCTTTTTCCTTAATAACTATTCATATTTATCATAGAATTTCCACTAATCGAGGAACATAAAGGAATTAAATAGAGCAAGATTTTTAATGCAACAAGTTATGAAAAAGTCTTTGCTATACGGGTACATATGTATAGATGTGCATACATATAAAGTTTAGAAATTTGAAATATATTGAAAAAATTGAACCACTGGAAATAAAAGTGAATTTGATGAAGAATAAATAAGGAGTTCTTGTTAAAACCAATTCTTTTGCCACCAATACACCATAGATGAGTATTTCAAAGGTATCTGCTCTTTGAAGCAAAACTGCTATACCCCGATGAGTAAAGTTTAATTGTCATAGCTTATGCATCAGTCGCCCTTCAGTTGGGTTTTTGCCTTTATGCAGGTTTTATGTTTTCTAGAATAAGAACATCCTAATTTGTAGGGACAAGCTATAGTACTGCTTTATTCTAGAGTACAGACAGCCTCTGGCAGTCTCTTCAGAGCCTCAGACTCAGCAGGCATCTGAGGCGGGCAGCGTCCCGTGCTTCAGGCCAGCCAACGCAAGCGATGCCATTCAGTGAGTGAGTGACAACTGTGGCTGCTGCTCCACATGGCACCCAAGGAGCTCGCAGAACACGGACCGGCCAGCTTCCCCACAGCGGCCAGGCCCTCACCTCCACACATCTTGCTCTGCTGTCCCCATGACCGTGCTAGCGACATCACAGACTCTCCAGGGCAGGGACAGCCTCCTCCTCCCAGGAAGACCTGCAGGCTGGCTTGGGCTGAGCGCAGCTGAGTGCTCCCATTTCACAGGCTGTTCACCAAAGTATTAATGTGAGGGTGTCATCTCTGAACTAGACTCCTCAACTTGCGGCTAAATCTAGTGGCTCTTCCCCAGGGCTCTGTCCAAGTCTCCTCCTTCTTAATCCCTGCAGCCTGTACTGTTTCGAGGAGTTGCTGTGTGAGCAAGGAACTGTTCAATTCTGGTCAAGCCACCTACCTTTTCTAGTGATCCCTGAGGGTGAAACAAGGTTTCTCTGAAATTCCTTTTAGTCCTAAAAGTAAGTGAGTGTGGGATGAAAGTCACACTGACTGAGAGAGGAACACATCATAAAGATTTTCAAGTTCTCTCCAGCACTGCAGGAAAAGGCAAGCTCTCTGCGTGCTCCATCTACGCCTACAACAGTCCCGCTCTTAAGGGAATGACTATACCTTGTTCCCAGAGGTTGCTTGTGAGACTGTGTGAAGATGCTCCCCATCTCAAGAAGGTGCTATGGTACAGAGCTCAACAAATGTCAGAGACTCAAGCTCATAGATATTGGCAATCTCGGGCTCAGAACTCTGACCCAAGAGAACAGATCAAGCCTGGTTTGAGGAGAGTCTTCTGACAAGGAGTCAACAGGAAAACGGAGATCTTTACACGCATTTCTGCAAAGTGGCCAGGGAAACATGATGCTCTTTGAAATGAGAGGAGGAAAAGTTGGTATAAAATATATTATTCTATGAATCTAATTTAAAAATAATGGACACCTACTCTTGAAGATACAGGGTGTAGCAAGAGCTGGCGATAACTTCAAGCTAAGAGATGGGTGGTACTACTTCTGTATCACTGACAAAGAAGCTGAGGCTAAATCAGGTTCAGCAGTTAGTCATTAAGTATGCAGACTAAAGGATCCCTTTGACAAGAGTTAAGGTGGTATGAGATGAAACACAGTTTCAAACACAACTTTAAAGATGTTTTCATATATTTCAAGAAAATATTCTATATTTATTGTACTCTTAAAAGTGAGGCTGGGTGCAAGGGCACACATCTGTATCACAGCCCTAAGGAGGCTGAGGCAGGAGGATCGTTGACTTTGAGACCAGCCTGGGCTACAAAGTGAGTTCAAGGCTAGCCTGAACTGCACAGTAAGATCCTGTCTACAAAAGAAAAGAAAAGGTAAGAAAGCAAGTCTTCCTAAGCACATCCTTAAAAATACTCTTTAAAGACCCCCTCCACCAGGAAGCCCTCACCTCTGGGAAAATCAGCTTGCAAATGCTTTCTGCCAGAGTGTGAAGGTAGACGCGGCCGCGGCTGGTCTTTCTTTGAGGAAGGCTTTCTTGCACATTCTTCGCAGGAACATCCTGGTGGATGGACGCACTGGCTTCGCCACTCTCAGGGCCTTCCGCCAGCTCCTCTGCGGTCTCGCGTGGTCCTTGACTGGGGGCCAGCAAGGAGAAAGGACATTCCCCTGCGATCTTGAGGTCCTTCAGCTTCGTGCAGAACATGGCACCAGCGCTCCCTCCACCACTCAGACTTCTGGAGAGACTTTGCCTGACAGAGCAGCAGCGCCGCGACCAATCCAAAGACAGCAGCCTATGGGGCGTCTGTGGCAGCAAATGGACAGGAAGAGGGAGGAGAGTGACTTTCTCCCACTCAGAAAGCAGAAAAAAGTCAGATGCAAAAAAGCAAGGACTGCTATCACACATCATTTTCAGTTAAAAAAAAAAGAATTGGATGAATTATCAATTACAAAAACCCTTTAATGCATTTCTGGGTGCTGCAGTAGCAAATACAAGACGTTAGCATTAGCACGCTTCTCAAATAAAATATTTTTCTCTAAAATATCCTTCTCATGAACTACTAATTTCTATTTCCATAACCCATTAGGCCAAGTTTGATGACACAAGAGTGGCATGCCATGACAGAAGCCACATCTAAATCTGTATTTTATTAATGCTTGCATTACTCCATTCCATGATGCTGTTCTTTCTAAAATATCAGAATACCATAGACCAACATCACTCAAAAATACTAAAAATGAAATACACACACACACACACACACACACACACACACACCCAAAGCACATCTTTTCAGATCTGAAACTGACTTTTAGATGAAACTATCCAATGAAAATGATTGCAGCCAAATGAAGTATTAATCACGGTAACATTGAAATGTTATCATAAGAACTAATATTGCTTCCAAAACTCCTGGTGCTCAGAACATCGTGTGGGATCTGAAGAGATCCCCAGGTCCAAACACAAATGATACCCAGATAAACCAACAGAGCCTCCTGGGCCAAGCCGTGCTGAGGCTGCAGGCATCAGCATTTGGGTATGTTCCCTTGGTCTTCACTGGTGTCCTGCCTTGAAAGCAGTCACGAAGTTCCCAATACGTTTCTTGTCAGTTGTTGGTCACTGGAACTGACTAGCTGAGTTTAGTTCACTAACAATACTAAAAGTCCTAATTGGAGGGTCTTCCAGCTCTTTCCTACTTGTAGAAAATAAAAAGCAAAGTGTGAGTAATTGATGGCCAGCGCCATCCTCGTGCATGCCTGCCAGAGTTCTGGAACCTCTGAACACATTTCGTCTTAGAATCCATACGACATTGGTTTTATTATCTCTAAAGTCCAAAATGCGTAAGTCCAACTATTTACCTCATTTGAAATGCTGGAAAATGACAGTGCCAGTGTGCAGATGTAGCCTGCTCATCTGACACCCGAGCTAATGTGTTTTTTACCACCCAAAATGCATTTCAAGTTAGATCAATCAGACTTAGTTTACAAACTAAGATTATTTTGTCTCAAAATATGTACCACAAATTCATGTTAAAAATCAATCAAGAAACAAATTCTCCTTCTCACTGGCTGGTGGTTTATGAATCGTTCAAGACATAGCTTTATTTTTTAACCTGTAGGATGGGTATTTAAATTTTTTTTCTTCTCTACACCGTCATTATTTTCTCGGGACGTTATCTCAAAACACAACTACAAGCAAGCCACGAGCCTCAGCCCTGAGTCCTAGCACTGCGGGAGGCTGAGGTAGGTGGGATCCAAGCTCAAGCCCTACTGACACAATTTAGTGATTTAGCAAGACCATGCTCCAAACCAGAACAATACTAAGGTGGGGAGGCTGTGGCTAACGTTCGAAGGTAGAATGCCCTGTGTTCAATCTTTAGCATTTCAAAAACCAAAAACTGCAATAAACTAGAAGAGTATACCCAAAAGCAATTAAAAATAGAACACTACAGATTGACAAAATTATAGAATGGATGCCTAAAATAAAAAAAAGGTGAATGCCACAGGTCTACATTTAGAAAGAAAAGACAAAAGCCTCTTTGTGGCATTCACCTTTTGAGTCTTACTGATTATCTTTTTTTTGTCACATTTCTTGAAAAAGTGGGTTTTGGAGCTTTGTTCCATGGTTTAAATCATATTTTTCTACCATTGTTCAGTTTCTGTTTCCTACATTACTGTAAACTGCTCATCAAATTCAAAGTGTAAAAAGTCAAGGTTCAAGAATCTTTTGATTTTTAACATACTTGAATTCGTGCTGCCCTTGAACTTTCTTTTTCATGCTCTTGGCTGCCCTTCGCCTTGTGATGTCACTGGATTGCCTTCTACGTCATTCCTTCTGTTCATCAAGTACAGAAGGATGCCCTGCATGTTCCAGGCCTCCCTCCAGACTCAAAGGTGGAGTCATGGACGAGGCCAAGCCCTGCCCTCCTGGGGCTTCCACTGCAGCAGGAAGGTATGACCTAGGACACACAACTGCAGAGTCATATGGTGCTCTAGTAATGAGAATAGGAATTTCAAACCTTGTCCAATGAGAAAAACCTGAGCAGAGCTATGAAGAAATTTCCAGAAAGAAGAACATGCTTAGAGATCAAAAGGGACCTAGTCATGCTTGAGAAATAGAGAATTCTCAGCTGGATCCTGTGTCTGTGAGAACAAGGCAAGGTGCTGAGACGTACAACACCTGGAGACAAGGATTTCTCAAGACTTTGCAGAACGTGATGAACAGTCAGAACTCTATCGTAGCAAACACCAGCTGAATGGCCAAAAGCAAAATTATGAACAACTTAGACTCCACTTGTAGAGGTTGATCTGAGACGTACAATGAGAACAGATGGACAAATGGCAGATCCTGGCTTGGACTGAAACGGCGGCCACGGCATGAGAAAGGAAACGTAGCGCAGAAGGACTTGGGAAAAAAAACTCCAGCCTGCGGCTACTCACAGGATATGGGGGCTGAAGGAGAGGGAGGACCCATTCTTACAAATTTATTCGCAGTGCCGCAGGTCGGTTATGGTTCAGATTCAGAACGCCCCATGGAGGCCTTGTGTGCACAGATGGGGCCTGCGGACAGTGACTGAGCCATGCGGCACTGCGCTCCTGGTGCAAGGGCCCGTTGCTGAGCTCAGCAGCTGTGTGTGCTGTGGAATCTGGCACCCAGCCCAAATGAGGGACCCTGGGAGAGGTACTTCCCGCTCCTGCTGTCCCACCATTTCCTGACCACTGTGAGGCAAGCGGCTTGCCTTTCATCGGACAGGTCTGCTTCTGTGTTTGGGCTTGCCCAACATGAACGGAAACTTCTTAAACTAGGTCAAAGTAAACCTCTCCTCCTTAAGCTGCACTTCCAGGTCTTTTCTCCATGATAAGGAAAGTAATTAAGACAATCTCAGATACAGAAATCCTCCAGGACTGTGGAAGCAATCATGGTAGTAAATAATCATGGTAGTAAATAATCCTTGCTTGTGGATTCAATCCATCAGAACTACATCCAGATTTGGGGGTTGTGATATTTTATTGGCCTTGTAGGACCCAGAACACTTTAACTTCCTGATTAGAATATTAGTTTTAAAGTAATTTCTGTTTCTTCTTCAAAGGTGAGACATGGGAAAATCAACTCCAGTTTGCATTACTGGAAACAGCATTCACTTTGTGGACCAGTGAGGTCTGTGCACACAGGAGCTGTCTGCTGGGACTTTAAGGAAGATGGAAGGCACCCAGCTTACATTTCTGTAATTATGAGCCTAAACTCTTAAGACTCCCTAAGCAAAGAGGTCAAGTTTTTGTTGTTATTGTTTTTGTTTTGATATAGGGTCTGGCGACAAGTCTGGACTCGTAGCTATCCTCCTGTTTCAGCCTCCCCAGTGCTGGGATTACAGGCATGTGCCACCACGCCTGGTTTCGGGGCCGGCACACAAGGCAGCATTGGGGATCGAACTCAGGACTTTGCACTTCCCACGCAGGCTCTTAGGCCACTGAGTTATCCCCAGTCCACAACTGAGGTCAAGTTTAAGGGCAATAGTGACCTCACACGCACTTACCATATATTCCAGGTGTTGCCTTCACCTAAGTGTACTACCAGCACTACTTAGTGTGCTACTTAGAAGCAAGATGACACTAGACAGCTTTGGAGTTGCTGAGCTTCTGTTATCTCACCTAGAAAATGGTGATGTGGTGATGAAACAGGGCTTAATTAAGGATTAGGAAAAACACGCAAAGTGTTTGGCTTTCCCTGGCACCCATACAGCTATACTTTTAAAAGAATAAAATGTTTAGATCATATTCAAGCGTTACACCATTTGTCGCTTTACAAAAGATGTGCTGCATCTCCTTCAGACTATCTGGGTAACTTCTCACAACAAAGATTAAATTATCCAGTTGGCACTTTAGAGCAGGCCACACAGTAAGTGCTCAGGGACACAAGCGAGTAGCAATGACCATCGCACTGCACAGGAGGGTCATGCTAACAGAACGAGGAAATACAGTAATGATGGGCAGATTTATTATATCTACTCACAAAGGCCCAATAAGGTCATACCTATGAAACATTTTTACTCTCATGAAAGCCTATGTAAGGGAATTCTAACATAAATCAAGAGCTTGGTACTCTGCAAATAAAGAACATTCTCAATTTGAAGAATATGAATGTATATTGAGAAAGTAATAGCCATGCCAACAGTGAGGGTTCTTTTCATTGACTGACAATATAATAGAGATTCCATCGCAGAGCAAGAAGGCTTTATTTTTTTAATCCTATATCACCCTCTTCACTAGTTGTCTGCACATCAAATTCATTTAATAACATTTTAGGTTATGAAATGGGCATGTAATGCTTGGGGCTTGGAGCCTATGTCCTCTCATCACACCAAAGCTCCTGTATAAATCAAAGAAATCTTTGCCACTGGAACACACAGCATTTCTATAAATCTACATCATTTCCAGTGGGAAAATAAAAATCTTCTAACGGCCACACTTAAATAGAAGTTTTGTTCTGTAGTGTATCTTTTCCTAGAAAGTCAGATTGGAAAAATGGTCAGTGTTTGTTACACAAAATACCTTATCACTGATCACTGATTTGTAAGTCAACTGCTTTTTAGTACTGATAGATTCAGTGTTAGCACTTTTACCTACTTACTTTCTCAATGTTAACTCATACTGTAGAGAGATTTAGCTGATAGGAAGAGATGAGATGTTAATTGCCATGTGCATTTTAGGGCATTTGTGAAATCACTCGAATCCAGTTAAAATGGGGTGTGGGGCTCCTGAGGCATGTGGCTGGATTCCAAGGTAGAGAGGTGTACCTGGGATCAT